AGGACTTAAAAATTGGGGAAGTGATAAATAAGGAAGAGGACAGGTCTCTGACATTGAGAGATCTGGATTGCTTGGTAAACTGGGCTCAAGCAAACAATATACATTTTAATATAGCCATAAAAAGACGGTTACTCACCATTGTAACTGTTGTTCTTCAAGATGTGTTGCTCATATTCATTCTAATTAGGGTGGGAGCACACCGCGTGCACGATCATCGGAAAATTGTTTACCCTAGCAACACCTGGTGGGTTGGCTGTGGAGTCCCCTGGAGTGGCGTTGTCATGGTGCTGGATATATACCCTAGCTGTCCCAGCACCCCTTCAGTTCCTTCTTGCCGGCTACACCGACAGAGGGGAAGGAGGGCGGGTTTGGAATGGATATGAGCAACACATCTCGAAGAACAACAGTTACAAAAGTGAGTAACCGTATTTTCTTTTTTGACTGCTTGCTCATATCGATTCCAATTAGGTGACTCCCAAGACTTATCTAGGCAGTGGGGTTGGAGTGAAGTATCATGGATTGTAAGACCGCTCTACCAAACGCCATGTTGTCTCTGGCTTGTCGGACAATGGCATAGTCTGAAGCAAAAGTATGTACTGAAGACCAAGTAGCGGCTCTTCAGATCTCCTGGATTGGCACCTGGGCCAGGAAAGCCACCAATGAGGCCTTAGCCCTTGTGGAGTGAGCAGTGAGGGGCAGAGATGGAACACCAGCCAGATCATAGCAAGCATGGATACAGGATGTGATCCAAGAAGAGATCCACTGAGAGGAGACCAGGAGGCCCTTCATCCAGTCCACCACCACAACGAAGAGCTGGGTTGTTTTCCTGAACTGCTTCATACGCTCAGTGTAGAAGGCAAGGGCCCTATGAACATTGAGGGAGTGTAGCCGCTGCTCCTGATGACTGGTGTGCAGTTTTGGATAAAAAACCGGGAGGAAAATGTCCTGGTTGATATGGAAGGTCGAAACCACCCTGGGAAGAAAGGCAGGGTGAGGTTGCAGCTGCACCTTATCCTTATGGAAGATCGTGTAGGGTGGTTCCGAGGTAAGAGCCCTGAATTCGGAGACAAACCTCGCTGACTTAATAGCAATGAGGAAAGCCATTTTCCAAGAGAGGTATAGGAGGGAACCGGTGGCCAACGGCTCTAATGGGGGCCCCATAAGCCTGGAGAGGACCAGATTAAGGTCCCACATGGAGACTGGCTGCTGTATCTGTGGGTAGAGATGGTCCAGTTCCTTAAAGAACCTACCAACCATGGGGTTGGCGAAGACAGATCGGCCATTTGCTCCTGGGTGGAAAGCCAAGATGGCCACTAGGTGAACTTTGATAGATGATCTCACCAGGCTCTGCTGTTTCAGGCTCAGGAGATAGTCCAAAATGAGGGGCACAGGCGCTTGGAGGGGGGGCATGCTGCGGTGAGTGCACCAGCTTCCACTTAGCCATATATGTGGCCCGAATGGAAGGTTTCCTGCTACCCAACAGAACCTGCTGCACCAAATGAGAACAGAGGAGTTCTGAATGGCCCAGCCATGCAGCATCCATGCTGTGAGGTGGAGAGATGGTAGGTTGGGGTGACAGAGGCAGCCGTGATCCTGAGCGATCAGGTGTGGAAAGAGTGGCTGTGGCACTGGGGCGTCCACGGAGATCTCCAACAGCATGATGTACCAATGTTGCCAAGGCAACCAGAATCAGCTGTGTCCTGTCCCTGCACACCTTGAGCAGGACCTTGTGTACAAGAAGAAATGGTGAGTAGGTGTAAAACAATCAGCTTGTCCATGGGAGTAGGAAGGCATCTGAGAGAGAGCCTGGGGAGCGACCTTGGAGGGAGCAAAATGCTGGGCATTTCCGATTGCTGCGTGAGGCAAACAGGTTGACCGGGGGAAACCCCCACTTTAGGAAGATGGAGTGGATGACATCCAGACGGTGTGACCACTCGTGGGAGTGGAAGGACCTGCTGAGGTGGTCCGCCAACATGTTCTTGGCCCCCGGGAGAAAAGACGCCACCAGGTGAATGGAGTGGGCTGTGCAGAACTCCCACAGTCGAATGGCCTCCTGACACAGGGCGGAGGAATGAGCTCCCCGTTGCTTGTTGATGTAGAACATGGCTGTGGTGTTGTCTGTGAGGACCGCCACACAATGACCATGCAACCACTCCTGAAAGGCTTGACAAGCCAGACATACAGCCATCAGCTCCCATAAATTGATATGGAGAGAGAGCTCAGACAGGGCCCATAGACCCTGTGTCTGGATGACCCTGAGATAGGTGCCCCACCCCAGGGCTGATGCGTCTGTGACGAGGGACAAGGAGGGGTGAGGGGTGTGAAAGGGGACTCCTTTGCATACCGCCCTGGAGTCTAGCCACCAGTGGAGGGAGCCCAGGACCCTCTCTGGGACGGTGACCACCAGGTTCAGGCTGTCTCGGCCTGGGCAATAGACTGATACCAGCCAGGCTTGAAGCAGGCAGAGCCATAGTCTGGCATGCCTGATCACGTACGTGCAGAAAGCCATGTGTCCTAGAAGACTCAAGCACATTCTTGCTGTCGAGGTTGGGAAGTTTGAAGGCTCCAGATGAGGCTCACCAAAGCTTGCAAACGAGAGTGCGGTAGGAGGGAGTGAACACACACAGAGTCCAGAACCGCCCCAATGAATTCTATTCTCGCCACATTGAGAAGGAGGCCTAATCGACAAAACGTGTCGGTGACCAATTGAAGGTGGGACTGCACCTGTTCCTTGGTGCGACGTCAGATGAGCCAGTCGTTGAGATACGGGTATACCTTCATCGATGAAGGAAGGCTGCCACGACTGCCATACATTTGGTGAACATCTGGGGGTTGTAGAGAGGCCGAATGGAAGGACCATGAACTGATAGTATTTGCGGTTGACCACAAAGCGGAGGAAGCAGCTGTGCGCTGGATGGATCACTATGTGGAAAAACGCGTCCTTCATGTTGAGGGCAGTGTACCAGGATCCAGGGAAGATATAACAGTGCCCAAGGAGACCATGCAGAACTTCAACTTTACCATGAATTTGTTGAGTCCGCGCAGGTCCAGGATAGGCCGAAGCCCGCCCTTTGCCTTGGAGACTAGGAAGTAATGGGAGTAAAACCCCCTGCCCTTTAGTGCCCTTGGAACCTCCTCAATCGCCCCCATGGCGAGGAGTGTCTGAACCTCCTGAATGAGGAGTTGCTCGTGAAAAGGGACAGGAAGGGGTGGTTGGAGGGGGGGGAGAAAGACAATTGGAGAGAGTATACCCTTTCCATCGTGCAAAGAACCCAACAGTCTGTGGTTACGAGGGACCAAGCATGGTGGAAATGGGATAAACGATTCAAGAAGGGTGGGGTAGGATCCTGAATGAGGTCCGGTACACCGTCAACGGGCATCCCTTAAAAAGTTTTGTTTGGAACCTGCCAAGGGCTTTGAAGGACCCTGGCCCTGCCTGGATTGATGGTTGGAGGGCTTCCTCCTGCCATTACACCCCCTTCACCTATAAAAATCCTGCCTCAGCCGAGGAGGGGGACAAGAGTATTGAGGCTGAGGTTTAAAGGGCTTCCGCTGGGTAGCCGGTGTGTGCATGCCCAGCGACCTCATTATGGCCCTTGAGTCTTTGAGGCTCTGAAGCCTTGAGTCAGTCTTGTCCAAAAACAGGCCCTCTCCATCAAAGGGGAGATTCTGCAACACTTGCTGAAGCTCCGGTGGTAAGCCAGAAGCTTGCAGCCAAGAGATATGCCTCATTGCGATCCCTGAAGAGAGGGTCTGAGCGGCAGAGTCCGCGGTGTCCAAGGAGGTCTGCAATGAGGTCCGTGCCACTGTTTTGCCCTCTTCCACCAGGGCCCCAAACTCTTCTCTAGAATTCGGAGGTACCAGCTTCTTGAACTTCATCATGGAGTTCCAAGAGATAAAATTGTATCGGCTCAGGAGCGTCTGCAGGTTCATGATCCGGAGCTGAAGTCCCCCCGAGTAGTAGACTTTGCGCCCAAATAGATCAAGGGACTTGGCTTCTTTTGACTTGGGTGCTGGGGCTCGCTAACCATGCCACTCCTTCTCGTTCACTGAGGCTACCACAAGTGAACAGGCTGTGGATGGGTGTATAGGTACTCATATCCCTTGGAGGGGATGAAATACTTCTGCTCCACCCCTTTAGCAGTCGGGGGAATGGATGCGGGCATTTGCCAGATTGTTCTGGCAGTGGCCTGAATGGTCTGAATGAGTGGTAGGGCCACCGTAGATGGAGCCTCTGCGGACAAGATGTCAGCCACAGAGTCCTCCACCTCTATAACCTCCTCTGTTTGCATGTTCATATTCCATATCACTCTGCATAAAAGGTCCTGGTGGGTGCGGAGGTCTTTTGGAGGGGGACCGATATAGCAGTTCCTGCCACTGCCTCATCGGGTGAGGAGGAGGAGGAGGCCTCAGGAGGAAGAGGATCATCTGGAGCCTCTTGCTGAGCTGGTCCCCGTTGCTCTGAGCCCGTGACCTTGTTGTCCGGATCAGGAACTGAAGTTGGAGGAGGGCTTGGAGCCGGGAAGGATGACACCACAGTCTCCATGCCTCCAGGAACAGGACGGCTGGTGGTGGCGGCCTCTGGCACCCGTGGCTCGGATGGGGCTGAACAAGAAGCCCCAGACGGAGCACCCTGGGCCTGGTGGCACACCGAGGGTATCCAAAAGGGCCATTGAGTGGACCCTTGAGCAGGACCTTGCTCCTGTGCTTGCAAATGTCCAGGCTCTGAGTCCAGGTGGCCATGATCCAAGTGGTGGCAGTCTGAGAAATGCGACCCTGCCTCCGACTCTGATGAACAAGAGGCGGAACGCGATAGCCATGGTGGTGCCGAGTGGGTCTGCGCCGAGTCACATCGACGAGACGATGGAAAGCTGTATCACAAAGCTGGAGATCAGTGCCACGATGGTGGAGAGCAGTGCCATGGCACTGGGGAGCAGTGTCAGGACCTAGACCGGTGCCGGGACCTGGACCGGAGCCTGGATCTGGACCTAGGCTGTGACGATGACTGGCGTCAGAAGTGGTGTCTGGATCGGGATCTACTCCTGGACGGTGACCGGCGTACAGAGTGGTGTTGAGAATGGTGCCAGGAATCGGAGCAGTGCTGCAAGTACAACTGGCGCTGCGATGAAGAATGGCGCTGGGACTGCGAGCGGTGTCAGCAGTGGGAACGGTGCCATGGCTCAACCTATGGTGCCGGTGGGTGAATAAGAGCTGGCTTGTCCAGGGATGGTGCCACATGAACGGGTGCCGGTGCCTTGGTCTGCTGAGGGGATGCTGACACTGTCATGGCAATCAGATCCCTTGCAGTTGCAAGGACCTCAACCACGCTGCGAGTCGGGGAGTCCAGTTGCACTGGACTCTCGGCGCCAGAGTCAAAGGTGTCAAAGCTGCCACTTGTGCCCCTGGGCGCTCTGCTGTGGGACGCAGCTCCAGATCCAGAGAAGGTGGCGCCTGCTGAGATGGGCCAGCCTTTTCCGGTTTGCGGTGCCACTTGTGGCCAGGCGAGTGGGAGCGGTGCCAGCCGAATGATGTCGGTTGCGGTGCCGGGAAACGTTGGTGTCGCGGGTCTCTATCAGAATCCAACTGTGGTGCTGTTCCTACCACTGTCAATGGGGTGCTGCACACAGAAGCGCTAGGTGCCGGGTCTTGGCGCACCGCTGGAGGCTGAGGACTAAGAGCCGCCTCCATGAGGAGCTGTCTTAAGTGAAAGTCCCACTCCTTCTTAGTCCGGGGAGAAACCCCTTGCAGATCCTTCACTTGTCTGCTTCATGAGACTCCCCCAGACACTTCAGGCAAGAGTCATGGGGGTCGCCCATGGGCATGGGCTTAGAGCAGGAACCGCAGGGCTTAAAGCCAGGAGCCCTGGGCATGAGCCCAAGCAAAAGACAGGAAGGAGGGAAACCCCTTCCAACCCCACTAATACAAACAACTATAACTATAACTACAACTATAACTATTAAACACTATAACTATAAACTATTAACAAACTGTGTAGGAAAAACGCTAGGGAGAGTGGAGAGTGGCAAAGCCGAGCTCCACGGTTCCAACGACCGTCACGGGTGGTAAGAAGGAACTGAAGGGGCGCTGGGTCAGCTGGGGTATATATCCAGCGCCATGAAGGCACCATTCTAGGGGGCTCCACAGCTGACCCACCGGGTGTTGCTAGGGTAAAAATTCTCTGACGGCCACGCATGCGGCGCACACACACCCTAATTGGAATCGATATGAGCAAGCACTAGAAGAAGAATGTAAATTATACACGCACGCACGCACATTTAGAAACAAAGAATGTAGGCCATATTTGCACAATGGGTAACTCTACCCTGGGAAGTGAAGCAATGACTCTGAAAAAGATTTAGGGATTGTGGTGGATAACCAGCTGACCATGAGCTCCTAGTGTGATCCTGTGGCCAAAAGGACTAATGCAATTTTTGGATGCATAAAAAGGGGAATCTCCAGTAAGAGTAGAGAGATTACATCTGTATTTGGCACTGGTGTGACTTCTACTGGCAAACTGTGTCCAGTGCTGGGGTCCACAAATTAAGAAGGAAGATGATTATTTGGAAAGGGTTCAGAGAAGAGCCATGAGATGATTAAATGATTAGCAAACAATACCTTACAGACACAGACTCAAGGAGTTCAATTTAGCTTAACAAAGAAAAGGTTAAGAGTTGACTTGATTATAGACTACAAGTACTCACATTGGGAACAAATATTTAATACTGGGTTCCTCAAACTAACAGAGAAAGGTATAGCATTATCCAGTGGCTGGAAGTTGAAGCTAGACAAATTCAGACTGGAAATACGGCATACATTTTTAACAGTGAGAGTAATTAACCATTGGAACAATTTACCAAGGGTTCTGGTGGATTCTCCATCATGGACAATTTTAAAATCCAGATTGAATGGTTTTTTTTACTAAAAGATCTGCTCTAGGTATTATTTTGGGAAAGTTATCAAAATGGTCCCTTCTGACCTTGGAATCTATGAATACAATCATTTCATAAGATAAACAAAAGTTAGAGACAAAGAATTAGTACAAACTGGATGTGTTTAAGATAAATGGGTGTTCAAAGTTCCTTGTGAGGTTACAAATTTGCTATAGCAACATACTAAGATGGCATTAGAACGAAATGTCAATATATGTGTTTTGATTGGTTGTTTTTGATAGGACCAAGTTGCCATCCTTTTTCTGCATACTGTTTTTCTCAGTGTCAAATATCCTAATCTTGCACAAAGAAAGTAGTGAGAGAAGAAAGAGAATGCATTGCATATCAGCTAGCCTAATGATCACAATTGCTGCCACCTGCTGGGCCACAGAAATTTACAATATTGGTCTTCTATTTTCCTAATCCTAAAAGTTGCCTTGATCAGACTGGGTAAGGAGAGGGAACCAAATTACATCACCCCATCCATCAGCTTGATTAAATCTTGAGCAATATATGAGATGTGAATCTGAGGTTCCTACTATTATTGCATCACTAATATGCCAGTGCCCCCCACCTTAATCCTTCTAACTCTTCTTTCTGTTTATGCCTTCTCTAACAGCAGTCAGCTTAGCCAGCCCAGGACAAGTCATCTCTTGCAACACTCAGGTGTCCACAAAGGAAAGCTAATACTGGTAAAAATTTGCCAGATTTCAGAGTAACTAGTAAGTTCATGTGCTGCGCCTATCATTTTTTCCAGCAGCTAACCTTCAAGTTACTATTTTTATTAAGTTACAGAACCTCACTTATCTTTCCTCTCTCCCTGTGCGTGCATCTGTTTTGTTTTGTCTTAAAGAAGAAGCAAGGTCAAACTTCAACAACTTATTCTTTCTTCCCCCCAATAAGGGCTTTTAATGCCATCTAAAAACCTGTCAGATTTTCCTTTTAAAATAGTTTATACAGGTACAAGGAAAGGGAATAAAGAAAATAGTTTAAATTGAAGTTTGATCTAACTTTTCCAAATGTTTACCTTCTTTCCATGTGGGCTTGACAAAAGGCTTCCATGTGGGCTTGACAAAATTTCATTGTGATTGTAAACAATGAAAGCACTATCCCATACAAATCTCAAACCAAACTTAAGTTTAATGTTTTAATAGTAAACAACGGGTTTGCAAACCCAACAACTCTCTGGGCCTGAGAATCATCTGCTTTACCAATACAACATTGCTAAAGTGTCTATCCAGCACTCCTTAACCTGGCAAAAGCTCTTTTTAGAAAGGCTCAAAAAGCCTTTATATGGCAACACAAAACTCAACTGCAGTTTTGTCTGAGTAAGGAGTGCAGGATCAGAGCCTAGCTCTGTACTTACAGTCATAGTGCTTGGTTGGCTAGATGCAAGAGCCTGTGCTTGTTGCAGATCTTTCAGATTTGATTCCAGACTTGCAAGCAAAACCTTTCTTGCTTCTGATAGCTCATATAGTTTCCTCTCTAAGGCAAGAAAAATACTTTAGAATCATCAATAGTTAAATTGTATTTCAATATTCCCTTTAAAATCTGATTTACATGAGATAATTGATTATGTGAGCTGGATTCTTTGGCCTGCTATAATTGCTTACAAGTTGTATTCTGACTGGACATGGCCAGTGGACAATTATTTGCGAAAGGACTCTCTGCTTTGCAAGGTAAGCCATAGCAGTAATGGCACTGAGGTCTTCCCCTATGAAGGTTATGCGCTCTAGGGGAGAGGCTGTTCTAGATTTGATTTTGACAAATGCGGAGGAACCGGTTGAGAATTTGAAAGTGATCATGAAATGATAGAGTTCATGATTCTAAGGAATGATAGGAGAGAAAACAGCAAAATAAATGGATTTCAATGGATTTCAAGAAGGCAAAACTAAATGAGTTGGTAGGTAAGATCCCATGGGAAGCAAGTCTAAGGGGAAAAACAATTGAAGACAGTTCGCAGTTTTTCAAAAAGACATTATTAAGGGCACAAGAGCAAACTATCCCACTGCATAGGAAAGATAGGAAATATGGCAAGAGACCACCCTGGCTTAACCAGGAGATCTTCAATGATCAAAAAATCAAAAAAGAGTCCTACAAAAAGTAGAAACTACGTCAAATTACAAAGGATGAATATAAACAAATAACACAAGTATGTAGGGAAAAAATTAGAAAGGCCAAGGCACAAAATGAGATCAAACTAGCTAGAGACATAAAAGGTAACAAGGAAACATTCTACAAATACATTGGAAGCAAGAGGAAGACCAAGGACAGGGTAGACCCATTACTCAATGTGTGTGGGGGGGAAATAAATAACAGAATATGTGGAAATGGCAGAGGTGCTTAATGATTTCTTTGTTTCGGTTTTCACCAAGAAAGTAGGTGGTGATTGGACGTCTAACATAGTGAATGCCAGTGAAAATGAGGAAGGATCAGAAGAGGCTAAAATAGGGAAAGAACAAGTTAAAAATTACTTGGACAAATTAGATGTCTTCAAGTCACCAGGACCTGATGAAATGCATCCTAGAATACTCAAGGAGCTGACTGAGGAGATATCTGAGCCATTAGCGATTATTTTTGAAAAGTCATGGAAGACCGGGAGAAATTCCAGAAGACTGGAAAAGGGCAAATATAGTGCCAATCTAGAAAAAGGGAAATAAGGACAACCCAGGGAATTACAGGCCAGTCAGCTTAACTTCTGTACCTGGAAAGATAATGGAGCAAATAATTAAGCAATCAATTTGCAATAATCTAGAAGATAATAAGGTGATAAGTAACAGTCAGCATGTATTTGTCAAAAACAAATCATGTCAAACCAATCTGATAGCTTTCTTTGACAAGGGAACAAGCCTTGTGGATGGGGGGAAGCGGTAGATGTGGTATATCTTGACTTTAGTAAAGCTTTTGATACTGTCTCGCATTACCTTCTCAAACAAACTAGGAAAATGCAACCTAGATGGAGCTACTATAAGGTGGGTGCAAAACTGGTTAGAAAACCATTCCCAGAGAGTAGTTATCAGTGGTTCACAGTCATGCTGGAAAGGCATAATGAATGGGGTCCCACGGGGATCAGTTCTGGGTCCAATTCTGTTCAATATCTTTATCAATGATTTAGATAATGGCACATAGAGTACACTTATAAAGTTTGTGGACAATACCAAGCTGGGAGGGGTTGCAAGTGCTTTGGAGGATAGGATTAAAATTCAAAACGTTCTGGACAAACTGGAGAAATGGTCTGAAGTAAATAGGATGAAATTCAATAAGGACAAATGCAAAATACTCCACTTAGGAAGGAACAATCAGTTGCACACATACAAAATGGGAAATGACTGCCTAGGAAGGAGTACTGCAGAAAGGGCACTGGAATTCAGTGGACCACAAGCTAAATATGAGTCAACATATTGCGAAAAAAGTGAACATCCTTCTGGGATGTATTAGCAGGAGTGTTGTAAGCAAGACACGAGAAGCAATTCTTCCGCTCTACTCCACACTGATTAGGCCTCAGCTGGAGTATTGTCTCCATTTCTGAGCACCACATTTAAGGAAGGATGTGGAAAAATTGGAGAGAGTCCAGAGAAGAGCAACAAAAATGATTAAAGGTCTAGAAAACATGACCTATGAGGAAAGATTGAAAAAATTGGGTGTGTTTAGTCTGGAAAAGAGAAGACTGAGAGGGGACATGATAACAGTTTTCAAGTACATAAATGGTTGTTAAAAGGAGAAGGAAGAAAAATTGTTTTTCTTAACCTGTGAGAATAAGACAAGAAGTGATGGGCTTAAATTGCAGCAAGGGAAGTTTAGGTTGGACATTAGGAAAAACTTCCTAACTGTCAGGGTGGTTAAGCACTGGAATAAATTGCCTAGGGAGGTTGTGGAATCTCCATCATTGGAGATTTTTAAGAACAGATGAGACAAACACCTGTCAGGAATGGTCTAGATAATACTTAGTCCTGGCATGGGTGCAGGGGACTGGACAAGATGACCTCTCAAGGTCCCTTCCAGTTCTATGATTCTATTTGTTGGTTGTAACTGTGAATTGTCCCAATTTATTTGCAGGCCTAGGCCCAGCCCAGTTGACTAGGGTGCTGTTTTGGACCTGATTGCTTGATATTCTATGAATCAGCCATTGGTCCAGGTAAAGAAATATTTGGATGCCCAAAGGACGAAGGTGGACTGCCATCTATGGCATGCAATTAGTGAGGATTCTTGGATTTGATGACAGCCTGAAGTGAAGCACTGTGTATGGTAATGGTTGTTGCCTGTGACAGATCAAAGGTACTTCCTGTGGCAGGGATGTAGTGCCATGTGGAAGTATGTGCCCTGTAAATCAAGTTAGCATACCAATCTCCAGCCTCCAGGGAATGGAAATGGAAGTGAGGGTGAGCATCCTGAACTTGATTTTCTTGATGAAATAGTTTAACTTTCTTAGATCTTGAATGGGGTGAAGACAACTAGTTTTCTTGAGAGCCAAGAAGTACTGGGAATAGAAACCTTTCCCGCTGTGTTGGTAATTTTGTATTGCTCCCAAATCTAGAAGAGACCATGTTTTTAGAAATAATAGTCTCATGAGAAGGATCCTTGAAAAGGGATGGGGAAAGTGGGTTGGGAAAAGGGATGGAAGTAAATTGGATAACATATCCTTCTTTTACTGCGCTGAGCACCCACTTGTCTGATGTGATGCCTTCCCAAGCACAGTGAAAGAGGACTGGCATAATCCACAGGGACAAAATACAGTTAGTGTGCTCTCCTTGATCAAAAAGTCAAAATGATTGTTTGGAGGTTGTAGCTGTATGGTAAGAATGTCTTCTGATTGATGAAGACAGGTGGCAACATCAAGGAGGTCTTGAGCTTCTTTAGAAAGAATTCTGTGACCTCTGTTGGAGACAGGGCCTGGAGGAAGATTGAGGCCTAAACAGTTTCCCTTGGGTAAATGGAGTACAAACTCCTAGTGAATGAAACATTGTACAGTAGTTCTTCAGTAAGTGCATAGTGTCATCTGTTTTGATAGAAAATAATTTAGATCCCTCAAAATTAAATCTTCTGCTGTGTTCTGCAGCTCCTTTGGAATGCCAGAAGTCTGCAGCCAGGAAAAGTGCTTCATGGCCATTGCAGTGGCTATGGAATGCAAGGCCATATCAGTGGTGTCTATTGCTGCCTGAAGGGATGTCTAAGTTGTAAGGTGTCCCTCAGAAACCAAAGCCAAAAACTGATCTTTATTGGACATCTGGCAATTTGACATCAAATTTAGAAATTTCAGAGAAATTAATAAAACTATATTTTGACCAAAAAAAGCCTGGTAATTAGCAACTCTCATTTGAAGAGTGGCAACGGAGTAAATCTTTTGGCTGTATAAATTAAGCCTCTGAAATTCCTTATTTTTGGGAATAGCTTGAGGACAGGACTAGATTGCTTCTTAGCATCTCTGACCACCAAGGAATCAGGAATAGGATGGGTAAAGAAATAGTCAAAATCTTGCTGAAGGACTTGATGTTGGCTTTCCACTCACTTGAGTGTAGGAGGTATAGAGGCTGGGGTCTACCACAGGACTTTTGCTGGCTCCAAAAAGGCTTCATTGATACAAAGGGCAGGAGCAGGAGTCCTTCCTGGAACAGGAGTCTGTAAAATATCAAGGAGTGTGTGCGGGCTCTCTTGCACAGGCTCTGCCCATATTATCTAGAGAAATGGACACCCTCCTTCTGAGATCCTGTAAAACTTTGAAGTCCTATGTGAAGGTAGATGTTGACTCTGGTGTAACAGCTTCATATGATGAAGATGAAGAAATATTTGGGGGCACATCTAATTCCCCCTCCTTTATGGGGTCCAGCACAGGGATAGTAGCAGGATCCTGGGTGGAAGTTTCCTGCACAGGAGGAGGAGAAGACTTCCTCTTAAAAGTGATCATGATGGGGGTCTACAGGCTTTCAGAGCAGCCCAAGACCAATAAGGCCATGAAGGGACTGCATAGTCTGAGCCACCCATGGTTGGAGACCCCATGCTGGAGCTTCCCTATAGGGAAAACCAGTCCTGGACTTCAAGTCTCATAACGGTAGAACAGCTATAAAGTGATCTAAAAGCACCTGAAGGTAAAATGGGTTCCTCCATTTCAGAATCCAAAGAAGAAATGTAAGGCTTTTCAGAACAGGCAGGAGCAGTCCCCTTTGGAATTCTACATTGGGCTCCAAGGAAAATGAGGATCAGGGTGGTCAGGACACCGATGAAGTGCGGTATAATAGGTCAAAAAGCTGATGCTATATGTTATGGAACTGAAAGTGCCGATGCCCCTGAATGCATTGACAGTGCCAGGCACATTCATGATGCTAGATGCATCTATGGAGTTGAGGACACTGAAGTCAGTTGCAGCAAAGGAGAGCTCGGTAGGGAAAGGCAAATAAGATACCAACAAGGCTAGTGGAGTAGAGGGCACCACAGGTAAGGGTACTGGTGCTGATAGTCCCAGTGGAATGAGTACATTGAATTGGCTGAAA